GTGTTGTGTGAACTCATTTAAGGAATCACAGTTTATGTTTTAACATTTCATATGATACTAACCATTATGGTGTTTTCAATAAATCATGGTTTAACATAATGATTGAACTCCATCATTACTCTTGATTTAACAATAAACTCAGTTCAGAAAACAATTTCAAAGTCAAAAGCTTAAGACATACATATACATTATTCTTATGTTTCTAAAAGACTCCAGACTTTGACATGTATACCAAGTTGCTTTCTCCAGCAAACTGACCATTTTAGAAATAGATTTGAGATTTGCAGCTGTTTCAGAACCAAGTGACCAATATATAGACATTCATATCAGATTAAATGACAGGCATGAGGATACAACATATTTAATTTGTATGACATTAAAATGAAATAGAGTTTGGTAAACCTATTGTTATTAGTAATCACATCTGGTTTTGGTGTAATTGAGAGTCACAATAGGTGCCTCTGAAAAGCATGGTGACAGCTAAAAATCATTTTACATCACTGCTGTTGTATAGACTTTGAATTCTTAGCTATGTCCTTCATGTATCTTAAAATTAAAATGTATCTAGCAGATCCATCTCTGAATTAGTTTTGCTATTATGCAAATTGTAACTGGGGAGAACTGTTCTCAATATTTAGAGCCATGGCTAATATAATGATATATAAAATCTGTTACTAAGTTAATGACATTAATCTGTCTTTATCATTACATTTTACCCAGGTGAAGTGAAAAAAAGCTGAGTGCTCATGAAAAGCTTGTATGATTTATTCCTCCTTAGATTTTAATTTACATAGAAGCCTGAACCATCATATACTGTATGTTTAGGTTTTTAACTGGTGTCTTTAGCTCATAAAGTTTTTATATGTGCCCACATAAAACCATTTTTCTTGATCCTTTCAGAGAGGACAAGAGTGGCTCTCATAAATAATATGATGAGAGAAGAACCTATTTTCATAGATACAGAATTGAAATATTCTCCATTTTATAGTATAAATATGATTGGTAGAGTAAAATAGGGCCATCTTGCTTCTTAGTCTTTCCTTTACCCAAGGGCTTTTCAACCCTCAAAAAGAAAATAGGGGCTTTGGGGCAATGGGATGTTGTTTTGTCAATGGTGTTCATTTTACCATAGAGATGTTAAGCCTAAAATAATTCTGTTTTTTTCCAGAGTCAGCTTCAAGTTCATCAGGGGAGGTTTTGTCTCTGGTACTTGTTAGTACAGGTAGACCTCAACTTACAACAGTTTGTTTAGGGACCATTCAAAGTTACAACGGCACTGCAAAAATTGACAGGATCATTTTTCACACAACCTTTACAGCATTCCCATGATCACATGATCAAAATCGGGACACTTGGCAACTGACTCATAGTTATGATGGATGATATGGTGAGATCTGACATTCCCTTTTGTGATGTTCTGACAAGCAGAGTCAATGGGGAAACCAGATTCACTGAACAGTGTGACTAACTTAACAACTGCAGTGATTCACTTAACAAATGTGGCAAGAAATGTCATATAATGGGGCAAAACTTACATAATTGTCTCAGCTTAGCACCTGGGATATTGGAAATTTTGCATTTGGAAGTGGTTGTAAATCGAGGGCTACCTATAGGATTTTTCTGAAGACTGGAAAAAAATCTCTGTACAGGACAGGAAATGTAGTAGGATTTTTTTCCTGATAGATATAAAACTTTTGCAGCTTAAAAAATGAAAAAGCCCAGCCTGCTTTTAAAATCAACCTCTGCTTTTTCCTGGAAGTAACCTAATGGGCATTCCAGAAAGGCCTTTAAGGGTTTTTTCAAAAGCCACAGGGAACCTATCAGCTGGTACTTTACACCTCTGTAATTTTTATGTACAGTGGAGAAGATAACATTCTACTGGATTCTGCTTATGTGGGATATTTTTGACAAGCAAAGTATCTAGAATCCAGTTCCAGATGAAAGAAAGATGAAAATTCTTCTACATCCATTAGTGGTAAAGTTGCATATCACCCATGAGTGTGCCTATAAAATGCAAACAGAAATATTTGATTCCAATTTTAATTTCGTTAAAGATACTTTTTTTCTCTCAGTATTGTAGACTTTGAAGATAAATTTTGTAAATAATTTCTAAAACCGCTCTTAATTCCAGTGTTACAATCTTTAACCTGATCAGTTAAGTATAGTACTACATAGCATAATCAGCCTAATTTTTTTTTAAAATTAGCAAATTTCAAATAGGCCTATTTTCATATTTTAAGATGTAGTTTGTAAAGTCCATCACTCTAAAATACTGAAGACCTTTGTTATAAGAGATAGCCTGTTGTGAGCCAAAGAGCCTGCCTTTCCTTAAAATATGTTTGAAAGAGAATTTTTCCAGAGAGATCATGATTTGGTCTCATCTGCCTTCTCTTTCCCTCAAGATTCTTCTTCCCACAAAAATCCTGCTAGTTTTTTCATGAAGAATGAAGCAAGAAGCACATATTTAAAGAGGGTGATTCATTATCATTATGGTCTAGAATATTGTCTCTCAGCTTTGAAGGGAATATGTGTCACGCCAGGAGCTAGTACTGATAGATAGCTCTGTCATAAATGTGTCAAAATGGTTAATAGTTGTTTGCTTAAACAAATGATTTTAAATTGGATCAAAAGAGCAATGTGGGTTAGGCTCCTCCCTTTCTATCATGATGATACAGTATGATTTTATGCTCTGTTCTAATCTAGATTGTTTGTGGCAATGACAACTAGAGTAAGATATTTCTGTTGATTAATATTAAGGCTCCCAAGCTGTATAAATTGTGGCATAAAATAAGATAGAATTGCTAAAAGGGTTGGAAATGGAAATCTTAATTTTCATCTACTCCTCTACATGTTTGTCACTTTGTTAAAATGTAGGATCACCTGGGGATCATCCTTTCAGTGTGTTTTAAGGAGAGTCCTTTTGACATTGGCTCTGTTCTATAAGCTTTTAGAGTTCTTTCTAGAATTGCCAAAGTACCGTGTCAAGTGCTTGAGGAAGAATACAACATCTGCTGGATTCTTAATTGGCATTTTTGAGAAGGCTAGACATGTTGCTCAATTCCTCTCTCCCAAAATGCTCTGTAATATCCCAGAAAGGACAAAAACAACCCCTGCAAATAAATGGGATGCTAGAGGCAGATGCTTTGCAAATGCCACCTCTCCATTTATTTTATTTTTAATTATAATAATCTTGAGGGGCCCTGTGAAAGTAAAGTGAGAAAGAAAACTAAGTGAACATTGAAAAAAGGCACATTTGGAGGAGCATCAAACCTGGGCAGCAGGACACTCTTAATCAGAATTTGTTTTTCCTTTCCTTGAAAATATGTGTCCTTTTTTTTTTAACTTGATGAAACTTTGTAGAGCTATTTCTTATGCTGCTTGTTTCTTTTGTGTTCATTTTTCACCTTTATTCCTTTTATTTTCTCTGGATTTCTCAGTTTATTTCTTTCTGCATACATATATTTGTTTTATGTTGCCCTACATCCAACAATTAACGACTCCCACATAAAATTTGTTTCCAGTTATAACACTCTAGAAGTAGAATTATAGAAGTACAGTGTTGTACTACCCAAAATATCTAGCAGTCTATTTTCTTAAATCACGCGTATTCAGGACTGCATTTAATTACAGATGCAGCTTATGTTTTGACAAACTGAAAGTTCTATCAATTTCTAATAAACACATATGTAGGTAACAGTGGTGGGTTGCAAATATTTTTACTACCAGTTTGGGTGCACTCCCATGCACTCTCCCATGCGCACACAATGCTTCTGCACATGTGCAGAAGCGGGTGGGCGGTGCCTCCTGCCACCACTACAGTGGGGAAACCCATCACTGGTAGGTAAGTATTTTAACATTTTTTATTTGAAGAAGAATAGCTAGTAATACCCACTTCATAGTTAACTTTCATAAAATTGGATGTTACCCAAGTTTCTTGCAATTAGATTGCAGTTAGCCACAGGCAATAAATTTAACTGTTCTTGATTCAGAACAATGCTGGTGATTTCTTTATTCCATTTACAAGAATTCCTGCCCTGTCGGTTTTTTAAAAAATTTAACAAATGCTGCCCTGAACCACAGGGCATGTACTCTTGCGCTGCCTGAGGCAATTTTTCAAATGACCTTTCATCTTGAAGTGGTATATGCTTATGCTGAGAAGTTTTTTTCCCATGCAACTTTATTAGCAGAAACAAGGCAAGACCCCTCAAATGAAGGGACCATGTACATTCTTCTACAATTCAAATGTGAAGTAGGTGCTCCTGAGGAAAAAATAGGGGTATTTAGAAGAGCCTAAACAGAGCCTTATATAATCCCTTTTCAACCTTCAGTACAATCAGGTGGGTTGTTTATGTACTGATAACTCCTCATGACTCATAACTCCTAAAAAAGATGTGGAGACTCTAGAATGAGTGCAGAGAAGAGCAAACAAAGATGATTAGGGGACTGGAAGCTAAAACATATAAAGAACGGTAGCAGGAACAGGGTATGTCCAGTTTAATGAAAAGAAGAACTAGGGGAGACATGATAGCTGCCACAAAGAAGGGGGGTATCAACTTGTTCTCCAGAGCACCTGAGGGCAGGACGAAGCAATGGATGGAAACTAACCAAGGAGAGAAGCAACCTAGAACTAAGGAGAAATTTCCTGACAGTTGGAACAATTTATTAGTGGAACAACTTGGCTCCAAAAGTTGTGAATGTTTCAACACTGGACGTTTTTAAGAAGATGTTGTATGCTGTCTTAAGTGGTGTAGTGTTTCCTGCCTGAGCAAGGAGTTGGACTAGAAGACCTCCAAGGTCCCTTCCAACTCTGTTATTCTATTTTATTCATGGAACAGCTTTATCCAGATGAGTGTTTTTTCCTTGTCCCTTCAGCTACAGACTAGGAAAGATCCAGCTAAGATAGAGGGAAAAAGTCACAAAAGTTAGGATCCTGTCTATTTCTCTGACCTAACTCTGTTCCTTCTCTCTTCTTCCCTTCCCCCTCCCCCTTTTTGTTTCAGCATTCATCATCATGATCATTGTGGCCCTCCTCCGCATCGCCAAGGGTCAAGAGGAAGGTCACCCCCCTCTGGCTCAGCTCTCAGGTGTACGGAATCTCTTTGGAGTCTGTGTTTATTCCTTCATGTGTCAGCACTCCCTGCCATCCCTCATCACTCCCATCTCTAAGAAGAAGCATGTTAACAAGCTAGTCCTGCTGGATTATGTCTTGATCCTGGGTTTCTATAGTCTTCTGTCTTTCACTGCTATCTATTGTTTCCGCAATGGGACTCTAATGGACATGTATACACTCAACTTCACAAACTGTGACATTGTCAGCATTGCGTTTATCCGCTACTTCCTGGGACTCTTCCCTGTCTTCACCATCAGTACAAACTTTCCTATAATTGCTGTGACTCTAAGAAATAATTGGAAAACTCTCTTCCACCGGGAAGGGGGAACCTACCCATGGGTAGTGGACAGGATTTTTTTCCCAGCCATCACACTAATTCCTCCAATTATTGTGGCTTTCTGTACTCATGATCTGGAATCCTTGGTGGGAATCACTGGTGCCTATGCTGGAAATGGGATCCAGTACATCATCCCTGCTTTTTTAGCATACTATAGTCGGAAAGAAACACAAACGACCTTTAGAAACCGTGCACTCAATAAACATTTGTCCCCTTTCCGGCACACCTTCTGGATTGGGTTTGTGCTGCTCTGGGGACTTTTTTGTTTTTTGTTTGTGACTGCAAATATAATTTTGAGTGAAACAAAAAACTAATGGAGCAATATTGCTGGTTAAGATGATCTCTTAAGACTTCTGCTCCAGGTGTTGCACCTAATAAGGATATTTTTAAGCTAATTTAAGATTAAACTACTTTTAAACTACTAATACAATATTGAGCTTGATGCTCATTTGAGGCATCTTGCTATTTGTTGAGTTACCTTTCAGATTCTGATTTTCCATTTCATGCACAAAACAATTGGACTCTGTCCTACATCAGGCTGCTATGATCAGTTTTTAAGCAGGGTATTTTCCTCTCCGTCAGAAGATATCAGAGACTGTTGGATATGCGTCTAATCCCTCACGTGATGAAAAAGAATAGTTTTACTAAAAGTTTTAGTAGTCAAGCCAATAGCTAGTGACTCAAGCAAGATCTGACTTAATGAAATCTGCTTCCCTAATCATTCGTATTCCTTGTGAAGCGGCTTTTTATCCTGCCAACTCATTGAACATTAGGAGCAAAAGGATGGTACTTGGTTTAATAACTGTTAATATTGCATGATGTATGTGGCAACCTAAGCGCTCTGAAATGAGTAGAGGAGCCCCACCACTTCTCCTTCTCCCCTAGTCCTGCTTTGACCCTTTTCCCCATTTGTTTTTCAGCCTTTCCAATGCCTTTCCATGTTGCCTTGTTTCATATAATGCAGTCCTGAGACTGAAACTTGCCAAGCTTTAATCTTTGTTGTTCTTTTATCTCTGATATTTCCCTCCTCAATTGTTTATGTACAATATACATGGTAGGAAGTCCTACCATGAACTATACACTCGGTTGATACAAAGCCATCTCTTAATAAGTAATAAGGAATGTTTCCCAGTATAATGCCTTGTTTTCTCTTTATACTGCTAATGGAATCATGCTAGTGTCACAGCAGCAGGGCAGGCCCCGTGCTTTCTATATGGTGAAAATGTTGATTTCTTACTAAAGGACTACTTGGATAAAAGTGGAGAGCAGCTTATATTGTCTGGATACAATATATTATGACTAAATCTACCCTGTTTCTCTGAAAATAAGACCTCCCCGGATAATAAGCCCAGTCGGGCTTTTGAACACATGCGCTAAAATAAGCTCTCCCCGAAAATAAGCCCTCCCTGAAAATATTGCAACACAGCAGCAGTCATGAGGTGACCACGCTCGCTGCTTCCTGCATCTCAAAAATAATAAGGCCTCCCCAAAAATAAGGCCAAGTGCTTATTTCGGGGGTAAAAAAAAAGACCCTTATTTTCGGGAAAACACGGTATGTAAATAATTTTCTAAATTTAGGGTGAGGGGAGAAACTATAGAAAGTGGAAAGAGACTTGTTCTGAAAGCCATTCCATCTTCTAACAGAATATTTTAAATGATGCCTCCTGATTCTTGCTAAATCATGAACTCCAGTCCATGAAATCTCATTTCTCTCTCTCCTTAAACCGATGTTCACATCATAAAATGTAAAGGTTGAAGGAGACTTTAGAGAGTGTTGAATCCAATGCCATCCCAGGGCATGATTCCACACTGTGTAAACACCTCTTGTGAAGTCAGTCATCATTTAAAATATTCTGTTCCATTGTTGAGCAGCTCCTTCTATAAGGAAATTCAGACAACCCATTACTAATTTCTTCCATGGTTTGCCATTCTGTCTTCTGAAATAACTTTGAACAATGCTGTACACCACCCAGAGTCACTTCCTGTGAGATGGGTGGCCATATAAATTTGATTAATGAATAAATAAATAGAAACAAATCCCCTTCTACATGACAGTCATTCAGCTACTTAAGACAACTCCCTGCAGTTTTCTCCAGGTTATCTATCTCCTCATAACTTTTTCCTTCCAGGTTCCTTAACATCTTAGTTGCTGTTTATGGATGCGGAGCTATGTAAACCAAACTAAATCTCTTGAGAGTTTGCCAAAGTCTCCACTAAAATGCACTGGATGCACTGCAGGGGTGGGTTTCTCGCCCTGTTCCAACCAGTTCGGTTGGAACGAGGCCGGTAGCGTCCTCGCGCATGCGCGCGGCACGCGTGTGCACGCACGCGCCACGCGCATGCGTACTAGTGTCTGTGTGATGCTCCAGCTGCTCCTGGAGGATTGCGCAGGCGATGTATGCGTC